CTCAAATCCCAATTTTTTTGAAGCACGTGGACGGTTCTCCAACCATTCCAATCAATTTTATTCCTTAAGAAAAACCCCGAAATCCACCGATTTCAGCCCAAAATGTGACTCCCAGCACGGGGCCAGCCCCTCTCCTCCTCCCCTCTCCCCGTCCCAGGTTTTATTTCCGGAATTGGCACGGCATGAACGAGAAGGAGCCGGCGGTTTTCCGGAACGTTCCGCGGGCGGGGGATTCTCCCGAGGAAAAACCTCCCGGAGGAGCTTTGCTGGACAGATCCTCCTTCGAGTACCTGTTTGAGCAGGTAACGGGGCAGGATTTGGGGAAAAAATGGGATTATTTTCCTCATTTTCCATCCCCAGGGGTTTCTTTAAGGATAAAAACCCCCCTGAGCTTTCCCTGTGGAAAGGTTTTTATCCAGCTGGGGTTCTGGAATTCCACGGGATAATTTTCCCTTTTTTAAGTGATTTTTATTCACCTTTTAAATGAAAAAAAAAAAGGAAAAATCCTTGTGGAAATCACCTCGGGGCTGGGTTTTAGCTGTGGTTATCCCACACTGAACAGGGAAAATTCGAATTCATCAACGACGTCGCCTCCCTGAAGGATTTCCAGAGCGAGGCGGAAATCCAGAAATTCAAGAACGAGAGCCTGGGGATGGCTGTGCTCCACCTCTCCCACATTGCCCTAAAAAAGGGCATTTCCCTGGAGGAAGTGGCCAGGAAATACAGGTAAAATTCCTGCTTTTCCACAGGCCTTTCCCCTCATTTCTCACCCTTTTTTCAGACTCGCTTTTTGCGATTTTTCCGTTGCGTCCCAAGCTCTCCCTGCGCCTCTCCCCGACCGTTTTCCTTGTTTTTTGGCAGCTTCAAGGACTGCATCCCGCGCTCCTTCCGCCTCCAGATCCAGCAGAACAATTTCCTGACCCGCTTCCGCATGAAGAACGTCTTCCGCCGCTTCCTGCGGCGCTTCCAGCGGCACACGGTGGCGGCCGGCGGCCTGACGGAGCGCGACGTCATGTACAAGTACCTGGCCACGCTGGAGCAGCTGGCCCCCCGCTTCGGCAGCGAGCTTTTCCCGGCGATTTCCCTGGAAACGGCGGCCGGGGCCGAGGCGGCGCCGCCCGGAGCCGCCGGGAGCCGCGCGGAGCCGGCGGCGCCGAGGGATCGGCCGGTCACGCACCACGTCCTGGTCACCGGCACCGGCGGCATCCAGTGGAGGCCGGTGCCCGCCGAGGTGGGTTGGGATGGGGTGGGCGTGGGAGGGATGGTCCTGCTCCAAATCCTGGTTTTATCTTGGTTTGGGATGAGCCGTTCCTGCTCCAAATCCCGACCTTTTCATTGGTTTGGGATGAGCCATTCCTGCCCCAAATCCTGGTTTTTTCCTTGGTTTGGGATGAGCCATTCCTGCTCCAAATCCCGACCTTTTCATTGGTTTGGGATGAGCCATTCCTGCCCCAAATCCCGAACTTTTCATTGGTTTGGGGTGAGATGTTCCTGCTCCAAATCCTGGTTTTTATCTTGGTTTGGGATGAGCC